TCATTCCTTTGCACCAAAAGGTCAAATCTTTTGGTGGTGAAGTAAAATCTTCAAGTTAGACTGTATGATGGACTTTGCTGGTCTTCGTCTTGGGCAAAATATAGTCTTCAGTTTAGACGGTGTAATGGTATTATCCTCGGACAAAGTAAAGTCTTCAGCCTAGAGGGTTGCCTTCGCCTCGGACAAAGTATAGTCTTCAGCTTAGACGGTGCAATGGTCTTAGCTTCAGACAAAATAAATCTTTGGCCCAGACGGTGTAATGGTCTATGCCTCAGATAAAATGAAGTTAAATCTTCAAACAAGATGAAGTCATTAGCTTAGACAGTGTAATGGTCTTCGCGTTAAATAAAATGAAGTCTTTGGCTCAGACGGTGTAATGATCTTCGCCTCAGATAAAAAGTAAAGCCTTTGGCTTAGATGATATAATGGTCTTTGCCACAGATAAAGAAAGTCAAGTTTTCAAATGAAATGAAGTCTTTAGCTTAGACGGTATAATGACCCTCGCATCGGACAAAGTAAAATTATTGGCTCAGACAGTGTAATGGTCTTCACCTTGACTTAGACGGTGTAATCGCCTTCGTTTAAAAAAAAAAATTTAAAGTCTTCAATTGTGATCTCAAGACAGGGACGTTAAGCACATCCCTTTCCATCCCAAGATAAAATCCTTGCGGTATGATGAAGTCTTCTATATTATCTATGGAATTCACATTATATACCGCTCCAACTCCTGTGACCGAAGAGTATGTGTGTATATATATATATATATATTAAGGACTAAAAAACTCGCTTGACGAAGAAATGCTCGATTTGCTCGGAACTCTCTTGCTTACTGTATTCTAAAGAAAAGGGATAAAAGAGAAATCAGTAAAGTAAATGCAGATTACAGAAGGTCTTCTTGCTATTAAGACATGAAGTTTGCACTATGCAACCTATAATGAAGCATTCTGTGAAATCACATGAAAGAAGAAGGCATTAAACACATATTCTTGGGTTAAAATATATATATATATATATATATATATATATATATATATATATATATATATATATATATATATATATATATATATATATATTTATTTGATGAGTCTTTTCTTCACCTATGTTATCCTGCACATGCTTGTTTCTAAAATAATTGGTGTAATACTCATTCTCCATTGCCTACAACAACAAAAAGAAGGCAAAAAAAAAAAAAAGGAAAAGGACGAGCATTACCTAAGAAGAGCTGTGTCGAGACTGCCTTTGGTTATAAACCATGACGCGGAAAATAGATGTTGCTCAGTGTTTGTATTAATAGGCGTGGATTCAATATAGACCCTACGAGTTGATCTCCTTAAAATAAGGATTTGAGTTCATCAGATTGGACACTGTTAAGAGAATGCAGTCCGATTGAAACTCAAAAATTCTGAAATCTATCTTTACGAGTCCATTCAAATTCAAATTCCATAGAATTAGGCATCAATTTGAAAGATAGTTACGTGGAATTGGATGTCTGAATAAGATGAGTTCAACTTCTGTTTCTTAGTCTTATAGAAATTAAGTTCAAAAATATCTAAAATCATGAGATACTTTCATGTGGGGCCATTAGATATGTGATATGTATGGATCTTAATTGATGCTTTAATCTTATCAACCATACTCTCTGCTCCATCAAAATGGACTACATGAACGAAGTAATTACAAGAAGACAATCGAAATTTTTTTGTCTTACTTCAAGCTTCGTCTAACAATTTTACACCCCGACAAATCTTGAAGTTGGGGGCATTTGTAAGCATTTAAATTTTATTAGATTTAAATTCATAAAATAATTCGGACTATATTAAATTGAAGATAATAGTCCAGACAAATATCGTGGCTAGTAAATTGGGTTAACTCAATATATATGTATTGGGTTAGTCCATTTAATTGGGCTACAAATTAAATGATAAGCCCACTTCATTAGCCCAAGGTCCAAATGGCTATTAGCCCATCTTAAAGCCCAGGCTCATGCCATGTGTCAAGTGATGTGGCATCCAAGTCAAAAGAACGAGCCAACAAAATCATGCCATGTGTCAAGTGATGTGGCAATCCAAGACAAGTAAATGAGCCAATGAAATCATGACATTTTGTCAAGTAATGTGGCAATCCAAGCCAAATAAATGAGCCAATTAAATCATGCCAAGTGTCTGGATGGTATTGGTCAGTTCAAACAGACCAATCAAATCGCAGAGCCACACCACTCCCTACAACTATAAATAGAGGTCTTCATAAAGCCATAAGACAGCAGAAGTGATAACAAGAAGTAGGGGTGGGCATTCGGTATTTCGGTTCGGTATTTAAGAATTTCGGTTCGGTATCTCGGTATTCGGTTTATCAATTGTGTATACCAAATACCGTACCAAATTATTTCGGTACGGTTCGGTATTTCTTATTTTGGTTCGGTATGGTTTCGGTACGGTTTCGGTTTGATAATCGCTAAATAAGCAACACCAACGAGTGACAATAATCGCAAAATTCAATACTAAGCAGTGCACAATGATGTGTTTTACAATAATCGCTAAATTCGCCAGCTTCAAAGCAAATGCAAATACTACACTGGAAGTGCATGGAGCTATGACTTTTAACGTGATACATGGAGGATTCGAATTTGAGGACATAACTGGAGGATTAGGCTTTGCAAAGGGAAAATTGGACTCATCAAATACTACATGGCAGGAGATATATACACGTCCTGTTGAAACATGAAGGCATTTATAGCCTTTATTATTTGGATTATACCCCAAAAAGACTCATTAACCAGATCTAAAAGCAAGCTTATTGGAGTTGTAGGGTCTCAAGGATGGATAGCCCTAATTCAAATTATTTTAGAGTGGGCTGGGGGCTGGGGCGATGGGGGTGATGGGCTGTTGGACTTGGAATTAAAATTATTTTAAGTGGGCAGGGCGATGGGCTGGGGCAGACTGCAGACGGGCAGTGGACTGGACTGGGGCAATATAAGAAAATGTATTTAAACAAATCGGTATTTCGGTATTTCGGTATACCGAAATTTCAAATTTCTAATACCGAGGACCGTACCGAAATACCGAAATACCGAAATTTCAATACCGAATTAGACCGAAATACCGAAAAAACCAAAACCGAAATACCGAATTAATTCGGTTCGGTTCGGAATTCGGTTTTTCGGATTTTATGCCCACCCCTACCAAAAGGGTCATCACCTGTTTTCTCTTTCATTCCGTGCTTCCGAGGCTTTGAAAACCTCACTTTTACTTGCCTCAATTTGCGTGCGCAGTCCGAGCGCATAGCCGGATAGCTTATATATAAATTCTGTGTAAAAATTGATGAATGTTGATATTAATATGATTAAAGTTGACTTTGGTCAATATTTTGAGTAAACGGACCCGGACCCATGATTAAACGGTCCCGGAGGGTCCGTAGAAAAATATGAGACTCGGGCATACGCCCGGAGTCGAATTCCGAGGTCGAGAACCCGAGAAATGAATTTTTCTGTGAATTTTTTTTTCAGAAATTAATATGGAAATTTGAAAAGGAAATTGATTAGAACGTGTTGGTATCGGGCCCGTATTTTGGTTCCGGCGCCCAGTACAGGTCTTATATATGATTTAAGATGTTTCTATGTAATTTGGTNTGATCCTAAGCCCATTTGACCTGTTCAACCCGCTCAAGGTTGTGCTGCTCATTTGTTGAACGCAGCCCATCTTTACCCAACCCGTTTTAGCCCCAAATTGATTCATGAGTAACTTTGCTAAAATATCTTTAAAATAATTTTATTTTGGTTTTATATGTTAATATATGACCATAACAAAGAAAAAAGTATTATTTATTAATTAAACAAATCACAATAAAACAATACATTATTAAAGCTTGATAATAGTGGGGCGGGTTGGGCGACCCAAATTTTAACCTAACTTGAGCCAACTCATCCCCAAGTTACTTTTGGGCAGGTCAATAATCCGCTCATTTATTGAGTCAGCCCATTTAAACCCGCCCAAATGAGCCCAATCTATGCAGAACTTTTGGCCCTTAAACAAGATCTTGAGATTACATTGGAGTTAAATCTAACTTCACAATTCTTCAAGTGAAGACTGACTCAACTGACGTAATTAAATTCACGGAACTAGCATATCTACGTATGATACTATTATACATAGTTGCAAATGTGAAATGGCTAATGTCCAGAATGAGGATACTGACGATTAGGCATATATTCCGACAAAGAATAAAGCAACTCATCTTTTGGCTGGGGAAGCAATCAATCAATCAATCAAATAAATTTTCGGATTTTAATAAAAATAGACGATCAAATTTACTGTTTACTTTTTCTTAGCAAATATATATAAATATTAAATATTAATTAGATACAGTTATACACATATAATACATAAATTATACTTATATTATATATTCGTTGGCTATTTCTAGTTTAAACGATTAGGTAAAAGGCTATTTGAATTAATTCTTCGTAAATTTTCACATCTTCTAGTCCCACTTCCTTTTGTCATGATCAAGATGCTAGCAGACAAGGATGTAGTTTTTGTGTGAAACCTATTTTGGGAAATGTTTGTAGAATGTTAGCCAAACTAGGCAATTTGAATGCCCTTAATGGCATTTCTACGGGTGTAATGTTCATATGGGTTGTAATATTAGTACTTCCTCCGTTTCAATTTAGATAAAGTAAGTTTACTCGATATGGAGTTTAAGAGAAGAAAAAAGACTTTTAAAACTTGTGGTATTAAAAGCTTAAGGAGTAAAAGTTTTGTGGGGCAATGTCATTTTGTGGTTATAAAAATTTCTCATTAAGGATAAAATTAGTAAAATGAAGAGTTTAAAGTTGTATTATTTTCAATTCTAGAAATATGTTATTTTTTTTTGGAACAGATTAATAAGGAAAGTGTGTATCTAAATTGCAATAGAGGGAGGACTATTTAAATTAAATTATCAGTTTATAAAAAAATAAAAATAAAAAGACTAGCAGCAATACGCAAGCTTGACTATTTATCTTTTCTCAATAGCACAATATTGCTTTATTGAGTAATTTCTTGCATTAATACGATCGTTAATGCCCATGGATGATTGATTCAGTTTCAATCACAGTAAAAAAAATTAAAGAAATAACAAATTCATTACTTCAGCCAAGTAAAAAACAAATTCCATCAACTAATTCTGTTTTTCTTAATCACTACACAGAACCCAGTTGGGACCTATAGCACCGCTAGCTCCGTCCCTTGACATACCTTCTTCCTCCTCTTTGGTGGCGACGCCGATGACGTCGACGACGAAGAAGAATGCTCCGGCGACATTGATGACCTCTTCGAACCAACTCTAATTGGTTCAGGTTCACCAGAATTAACCCTCAAAGGGAAATTCAGCAATGCACGTGACCCCCGCATGCGAAACGCCGCCTTATCATAAGCCAACGCTGCGTCTTCCGCCGTCTCATAGGTACCCAGCCACACCCTCGCCCCATTCTTCGCCGGATCCCTAATTTCTGCTGCAAACTTCCCCCACGGCCTCACTCTCACTCCCCTATAATGCTTTCCCTTTGGCGATGGCGGTGTTGTCACCGCAGGTGATTCCATTTCCACCTCCGTCGCCGTCTCCGGCGGCTCCACAAACTCCGGTGAATTCCATATTTCAGTTGATTGAATTGAAATTTCAGGCTCTAATTTGACATTGGGGATTGTAAAATCAGAAGCTGGCTCAAATCCATAGCCAACGCCTTCATTAAGGATATAAAAAAGAAACGTATCTGCTGCATCAAATTCATTGGACAAGCAATTAGGAAACATGTTGGACTCAATGCTATTGCTTCTGCTCAAATCTGAGGTTGTTGAATTGTCGGAGCTTGTTAATGGAGCTTCCCAATCTTCAAGTAAGTGAAGCCTAATTGATTCAAGAATTGCAAAATCATTTTCTAATTCACAATTCCCATACATCATGAAAAAATCTTTAATTTAGTAATGAATTTACTTTCTTTTGTTGAGAGTGAATTACAGAGAAAACAGAGGAAGTTGTGACTTGTGAGATTTATTGAGGAAAGGAATGGAGTTATATATTTATATGAGAAATGGTACATCCAGGGGTGGGAGATGAACATGATTGTAATGATTAAAGTATTGTTTGTTGATAAGTTTGAGCTTCCTTGAACCTTGTAAACGGAGAAAAACCGCGTTTGGCCATAGATTTTATTAAAATAAATTTGGATTTTATTTAGCAAATACATATATGATTATAGATTCTATTTATATTTTGGCAAAATTTTAAATCTTCTGGGCCAAAATATCACTATTATATGTTTAAAGATTGCCTCAAACTTTTATTTTTTATAAATAAAGTCCATTATTTATTATTTTGTAACAATATTATTTCGTATTCTCGGTCATCTGATAGTGTATCATGTATAGTTCATTATAAAAATAATAATTTGTATCAAATTTATTTATGTTTCAGGATTATGATTTGAGATATATAATGAATATTATTGACAATGATATTATTGGGTATTTGTGATAGTTTTTAGAACTTGTGGTTATAAGTTATATTTCATATTTTTCCAAAATAAATTTGAGAAATTTATTTTGAAAACTAATATTCAAATATATTTTCATCTTAAAATCAAACTTTAGCCAAATTAAAATTTTCAAAACATATTTGGGAATCTATGTTTGTGAGGAGAGAAGCTTTCAATCACGTGGTGTATTTTGAAATTGGAAATTTTCACCACTGGATAGAATTATAGGTTATTGACGTCAAAGTTCATTAATTGAATTGTCGTTTGCTGTTACTGAGCCGCTTTTGCCGCAGTTGGCTGTAGCAGTAGACATCTGGACCATGACTCACCCCATACCCTTGGTTGCGATCTTATTTGAATTTTGTGCGAATGTAAAATGCTTTATACATCGGGCTATCTTATTTATTACATATCTGTTTTATTTAGGAGTTCTCCATCAAATCTCGGACAAATTACAAGAATTATTTAGTATTTTGTTGTTTATGGTGAAATTTGAACATGAAACTTCATGATTTTCAAGCGCTTTATTGATCACAAAATCACATTATAGAATGTTATGATAACATATTGTTTTAAACCGTATTTATAGAGTAGAAATTCTTACAATATATAATTTATCGCAAATATTATTTCTCTTTTTGGTTGATCACTGTGTAGGATTCACTAAAGGAGAAGAGATCACTATCTAAATTTTTTTTATTTATTTTCGGAACTTTAACCCGAAACTTATGATTAAGAAGAGATATCTCATCCATTTCTAGGGTGCAAAACGGTCGGGTTGGTTGGGATATGAGATGGGTCAAACGGATAATGAAAAAACGGATAAATTATTCGATCTGATCCATATGTAATACGGATTAAATGGCTTCTTGAATATGATCACTTTTGGGAGAATTCCTAGTCTCCCAAACTTGAGGAACCCCCAATTTGAGGCTTTATAAATGTAAAAGTTAAACTCAGTAGTTATCCATTGATTATCCATTTTCTAAATGGATAATATGGTTCTTATCCATATTTGACTCGTTTTTAAAAAGTTCATTATCCAACTTATTTTATAATAGATAATATGAGTGGTTAACTATTTCTTTTTTAACCATTTTGCCAGCCGTATCCATTCCCATCCCTTTTGGTGGTAAAGTTTGAAAACCAGGCGCTTAAAACTTTTTGTAGACTAAAAATTCTTCTATAAAATATTTTGTGCAATTTCCATAATGAGGTTTATTTGTGATTTGAAATATAACAAGTATGTTTCTAACTAAGTAAATTTATAGTAATTTGTAGTGACAGTAAAAACAAGGTATTTAAAAGGATAATTCGTGTATGTTAATTATTAATATTCAGACTCATCCGTTAAATTTCTACTTTGCATAACGGTCAGTGCCTTGTTTGATTTATCAGCATTCAGCAGATTAAGTAAGATATTTCTCTTGCACAAGAAAAGTGAAACACGAAAAGTAAGTAAAATTTTCCACTTTTCTGTACACCATTAAAAGTAAACACTACTCCTTTGTTCCAATTTATGTGAATTTATTTTCTTTTTGGTCAATTCCAAAAAAAAAATAACATCTTTCTAAATTTTGGAAATAATTTAGCTTAAATTTTCAATTCTACTCTTAATGAGAAGCTTTTATAACCATACAAATACTCTGACCCTTTTCTGACATGTTTAGGACCATAAATTCTAAAAGTTTTTATATTTTCTTAAACTTCGTGCCCAATCAAATATATTCACTTAAATTGGAATGGATGGAGTAGGAAGTTACACTTGTAAGTTCAAAAGTAATAAAAACTTGCTTTGTAATATTCTCCACTTCAATTCCATGTCAAGAAAGCCAAAATATTGGACAAGGAAAAAGGCACTTGCTAGTTGGCTAAGTACTACTAGTAGTATAGCCTAGTTTGTTTTTTTCATCTGTCCCACATTATATTTTATTTTTAAGTTACGAATCCGCAGCTACTACTTTTTGGGTGCGCTCGGGGTAAATCCCGCTCTAGTATAATAGCTCGCAAATTCACTAAGAAGTAAATTACACTAGACAAGTCCCGTACGACAAGCTCGACTGAAATAGAATGTAGGGGTTTCAAACCTACGACCACCCTTTTTGGGAATCTCTTGCTCAACCAACTCGGCCATCCTCCGGGTTGTCCCACGTTTGTTTTTTCTTATAAATTTTCAAGTATTTATCAAGATTTCTCTTAACTATTTAATTCTATGTCAACATCAACGATGGCTAAGGTTCTAAATCCTCCTGTCAGAAAGCAATTATTGTATGCTTATTGGTTAGGTTCTTAATCTTTTAGGCTAAGGCAGTTATCGGGAATAATCGTCCATAATGTTGCGATAAGAGTTATAAAAAGATCATGCTATTTTTGTAAAAACTTGAAACTTTTCTTTTTGGAACAATATGTGGATATTTTATTTTCCATTTTTGAATCAAAAAATATTTTTTGTCCTTCTACGAACATGTATGATGTATACCCATTATCGAGCCGACGAGTCGTGACACAGAACTGATGAATATTCAATTTTTATTTCTATTGATTGATCCGAATGAAAAAATATAAAATTGCTACTATTTATTATTTTGTCGTTTACATGATGAGCACTAAACATAAATAACAATATTTCGTATCTGCTCTCGACTTTGACGTAAGTTGCCAAATTTGCAAGTTTTAGGAAACATATGAATCTTAACTTAAAATAATTAAACCAAAGAGCCCTCTATATAATCAACAAAATAATATCAACTAGACATCCCGAGTCTGAGGACACATATTTAAAGGTAAAAATTTACTCACGCTCGATATTTATTGAGACTTACAAAATAATGTTAAAACGATGGTAGTACTATAGCAATGCATGATGGTACTATTCCTTTAGACAAGTTATATTACTATCATTTTCTATATTGAATTATTGATTAAGAATTGAAACTATACCATGTTTTTCCTTTTTATCATTTCTTAATTAAAAAGAGAGGAATTCTTTTTGTTATATAACCATAACTACATTAGATATTATATCTACTACACATATCATTTAGACATCATTGTGTTTTCTCTTCGAGCAAGTAGAGAGCATTAACAACTTTAACACCTTTGTTCAAAAAGGTTGACCTATTTTGAATTGTAGTACGTATCTTATATTTATTTATTTATTTATTTATTTGTGTGCGTAGAGAATTTGTTTTTAATACATAGAATATTGTTGTGGAAATAAGTCTCCGTAAAGCTTTTACTTGGTCACAGAACAACCGTCTGATATGAATGAAGATTGGCACATTAACAATGCAGACCAAATTGTGTTTGGTTTATGACTTTGACTCCCATTTCTGTCACTTAAATTTAAATTAAAATAAAACCCTTATATGGAAAGAAAAAAAAAGGAGAGACATTCTTTACTTGCCAAAAATGCTAAAACGTGCAGTTGGCCGCCATGTTTGAGGCAATTTAAGCTTTGAATTATGTATATTTTATTTTTATGTATATATACGAAAATATATTTTTGAAAAAGGAACTTGTGTGTCTTTGACATTCTCGATGTCGGTATTCAAAATAGAGTTTATTTTTATTTTTGATATTGCAAACAAATATTTAAAGATAATTATATATAATTTTTTAAAATAAGTTGAGCTAGTAACTACGTAAAAGATAAAGCGGACAGCGTGTCAGTGTAAAATTATTTACAATATCGTAGTAAAAAAAATTAAATTCTAAAAAATAATTAGCTCGGACAGTTAGATGAATTAATTATAGACGCTCCATTCGATCTGGATCAATTTCGTTACAACATAGAATAATTTGTCTTTTAATTCAAAATTATAAGTTTTAATACTTTAAGTTATCAAAATCTTATAATTTCCCCCCATTATTATACATAAAGTTCTCCAACCAAACTTATAAAACAATTCTCGGACATGGGATCTAGTATAAAGAAAACATTTGGTGAAAATAGGACAATAATTGCACTTCTAGAATATAAGATAGATAGCTTTGAAATTGAATTATCATCCAACGCTAGATTTTAAAGAATAAGATTTAAATGTGTACAGTATTTTACGCTTCTTATTATATGAGTTTTTTTTTCCATATAAATTAAATTCATAAATCCAAACGTGATAAAAAGGAAGCTGCAGGTAATTTTCTTAGCTTTGTTTTGTACGGACAAGTGGCATGAGATATTATAATCTGAAGAAGAAAAATAGAACAAAAGGCTATAATAAACTAACGGGTTGCACTTTTTATATAAATTAATTACAAGTGGACAATCAAGTTGGGTTTAATAAATGAAGCAGCATCTTCTTGGTTCTTTCGAGTGTATGCTATTATTGATCAGTAACTCCTGCTATTAAAGTTGATTAATCTTTAATTTAGTCAATACATAAATAAGAAAAACTTTGTTAGATTCTGTTATCACTTACTTCCTTTAAGTAATTTATATTGGATTTGCATCAATTTTTTCCTGTTATGAGCGTAACTATATGGACGTATCCACTCGAGGGAGATCATTAAAATATAAAATAACTTTCAATTGATTAATACCAATACCATTGCAAGTCAGAAATTATATTTAAATGAAGAGTTTTGCTTTTAGTATAAAGAGGCAAAATACCTCAAACTACCCCTAAACTTGGCTCAGATTATTAGTATCCTCCCCGAA